TGTGTGTGTGTGTGTGTGTTTGGTTTATGCATCCCAGGCTGCAAAACATCTCATTGATAAAACCCCTGTGGATCAAGACAGCACAGCAACTGAAAGTGATGAACAAGCTGAACCTCAGCCATGCTCTAGTTCACAAATAGCCACTGTCCAGTTTGTACCATGGTAATCGCTTCCCTTCTCTTAGTTGATTAGTAATGTTAGTAATGTCTAATGTTAATGTAATGTCCATAGTAATGCCTATTAAGATCAGTGGCAAAACAACAGTCAGTTTGAAAATGTGTGAAGAAAAAAAATTCTCCCTTTTCTTTGAATTGGAAGTGATTATTAACTATATTAATACTCACCATTAGCAGCTGCATTAATTGTATGTTGCACTCATGTGATCACACTGTCCATGCATGTAAAAACATTTATGTATTAGATTAACAGTACATACCTTTTTGTTGTCAGGATGTTTGTTTGTCTGTTTTTCAGTTTTCTAGTGTTAATAGTATTTTATTGTCTTCCAGTACACATTCACTTATCCCGAAGACCAGGCTAGAAGCGGCCTACAAATCCCTGGCCACAGGTTTAAATAAAAAAACATTTGCTCAGTTGGAGGAAGAAGTAGACAGAGAGGAGCTGGAAAGAGAAAATTTTTGCGAACAGCTTTCCATGACATCAGAGAGGTGCACAAGTGTGGACTTGGAGGAACTGTTATTTCAGAGAGACTCAGGAGGCCCTATGGAAGCTGCCCCAGCAGACCAACCAACACAAGCAAATGCCATTCCTCCAATTTGGGCAGATTTACACTTTAAGAATCCGATTGTGCTGTGTAAAAGAGAGAACTACACTGTGTCTCGGCTGGTGGTGGAACCAGACAGTCAGGCAAGTTCACGCTGCACAACCGCTTTAGAGGAACTGGAACCTGAGGTCAGAAGGAAAAAAACACCACAGACACTGTCTGCATCTAATGAAAAAGACCGTCAGTGTCGGGGAACGGACAAAAAAGGTGCCACACCCACCCAAAAGAGCCACATTCAAGCCAACAGAACTCGCACCAGGTAAGTTAAAGTAGCAAATAGCAAGATGTTTTTGCTATCCGGTCTTTAAGTCTGACGTCATTAGCCGTGCCTGGGCCCAAACTCCGCTGCAGGTCCTTAAGTCACACGATCACTGCGGCATCACTGAGAGTTAAAAACTGTCTAAATTCTTTCATCTGTAATAAAATGATCAGTGTGGCTGTTCTACCAGGTGTAACAATTAAGTTTAACATCCAGGCATCCATGAAAACAAAATCTATGAAGTTTAACGGAGTTAGAAGTTAGCAGGGAGTTAGCTCGCTAGTTTCCATCTAAATATAATATACCATGTTCTGACTGAGAGATTTCTGAAAAAATTAAGACGTACAACTCAGCTATCACTTCCGACATAAATGAAGACAGAAAAGTAAACAGCAGTGACTTTTGTAGGGTTACTGAAGTTGGACTAGCTGGTATATAATGATGTGCTACGTGATCGCTAGCGATCATATAAACAGTGAAGCTGGAGGATGAACGCTAACCTTTTTCAACTCGATAAAAAGTTAATGTGAGGGTTCCCGAAGGTTAGGGACAAATGCAATCGCATGGCAGGATGCTGTAAACGGACCAAACTTCAGTCAGGAGAACAACTGAGATAATCCATCCACAATATGAGGTTAGTCATTAATATACTGCTGCATGGGCTGGGCTGCAGTTACATCGTAAGGTTTTAAAAACTGAGATTTAAAATGATTAGCTGTAATAAAAACTGAGAGAGGCCGACAGTGATCACTGACTGTTTTTAGGGACTTGAGATTAAATAGAACAAGATACAAAGCATTAAAACGTGTTAAATACACAACAGCCTTATTAAACACAGAGTAGTTTGGGCCGGGAAGCAGGATTCATCACGTCCTCACTTAAAGACTGGATTGTTTCCCCTCGTCCATGCCCCACAACTTATGTCTGCCCCTCAGTTTGAGAACCACTGTGTTATGTGAAAGTTACTGTTTAGTAGATACTGTATACAACATTAAAAACCGTTTGTTTCAGCTGTTTGAGTTGACTCCTCTGACTCTGCATCCAGCAGGGAAAGTTATACTGCAGCACAGCAGTTTGATGGTTTACTAAGCAATAAGTCCAAATGTGCATTTCTCACCTGTTACTGGTTACTAGATTGTCAATTTTCAATGTTTGAACTTATTTTATAATAACTTTGATGTGAAAACTAATAACAACCATCAATCCATTTTTCTGCTACTTATCTGGCTCTGGGTTATGAGGGCAGTAGCCTGAGCAAAGATGTCCGGATTTCCCTATCCCCAGCCACCTGTTTTAGGTCTTCTGAGGGTATATTTTGTTTTCACCATGTCAGCCAAATCACTCCAGCATGTCCTGGTCTCCTTCCAATTAGACATAGCAGAAAACACCCAATTAAGTCCTAAATCCTAGTAGGATGCTAAACAAAACAAAACAACTCACCCAACTGTCTTCTTTAGGTCCACAACATGATTGATATTTGACCAGTTTTATTTATTTATTCAGGAATCAGGATAATATGGACGTCAGCCGTACCACATCCTCTTCAGTGGAGAGCTCACCAAGTGAGTCACCTTCTCATCCTGTCCGACAAACAACCTCCACTCCTCACAAGGACTCTGGTCAAAAGAAAAGTCCTCGTCTTTTAAAATGGTTAGTAAACGCCAGTAACTGAGAAACTAAAAGTGGTAGAATACACCTGGGTGAATATTTCACCCAGCGTGATTGAGTAATAGTTCTAATCATTTTTAATTTTTATCTTTTGTAGTTGTGCTTAATCATTTTGCCAAACAAAAACACACTCTGGATCTTATTCACAGGAAGCGACTGTACCATGATGCACAGGAGAGCAAGGGCGATGAAGAGTCGTATGTTACCCCTAACAAGAGCGGTATGTAACACTTCATTAAATATAAAATGTTTATAAATATTCAATAAGACTAAAGCAAGTTTGCCATCTGAAACATCTGGTTTTAATGTTTTTCTGTTTGTTTGTTTTTTTGCCTTCCTACAAAGGCTCAGACATGAGCACCAATTCAAATTCTGGCCAAAGGAAAAGGGTAAGTATAGCAAAACATGCTACAAAGCTAACTTGTCACTGTACTTTCCTGTGGATGTTATTTATAAATTTATAAATATAAATAATTAATTTATAATTTATTCACATAAATTACACTAAGTCAAACTCTTTGTTCAATACAGGCATCTCCATTTACAGTTTAGCATATATATTTTGTTCCTCTTTTGCACAAAAAGTACTCATTTGCAACCATCATACAAATGTAAGTTCCTGTATGAATAATGCAGTACACATGAGGACATTTCACTTTAGTCAGTTACATTAAAAACAATTGAAACAATTTTTGGACTCTCCACAGCAGGAAAAAGCTAACAAATCTTTCAATTGTGTTGCAGAAATGGACAGAGAGTGAGACGCAGAAGTTAAAAGACGGGGTCAAAAAATTTGGAGAGGGCAACTGGTGTAAGATAAAGGAACACTACGGCTTCAAAGATCGAACAAATGTCAACCTGAAGGACAGGTGGAGAACAATGAAGAAGTCAAATATCGTCTGACTCACCAATGTCATTTTTTATCCCATCTCCATTTATTTATTTTTGTTTCTTAAGCAAGTTATTGATAATTTTAAAAATTTGTTTATAGATTTGGTAAATGTTCAGTGTTCACGGCTCAAAGATTGTTTTGTTTTGAGGAAGGGATAAAATGTTACTGTAAGAATAAAAATCTTTGATAGTCTCTTTTTGTCTGCATCTTTATGTTAATGTGTTCTCATTTGTGTTTCACGGGGTCCTAGAGGATTACAAGACATGACTCACACGTCCCTTTAGTGAACAAGGACAAAATTCAAGGCCCCCCCGTATAATCCTAAATTTAAGTGGCATTAATTAGCTTTTTAAATTGGATCCATTCTGTATGCTATTGTGACTACATGGCGCTGAAGAAAACGAGTCTCCCCATCAGGATGCTACGCAAATGTTGATTAATTCCACATTGTTATCTGTGCGGATACAATTTAGTATATACAGAGTAGATTTAAAAGTCAAAGATTTCTCTCAGTCTTGTGATCTCAGACAGACCTTTTAATTAAAGATATGACAGCAGCAAAATATCCATTTAGCTGAGATCTACAGGTATATTTTCCCCCAAACAAACTATCGGTAAAAAGAATGAATGGAGCAACCTTTTTGTGTGTGTGTGTGTGTGTGTCAGGTCTGATGCAGTGAAATGGATATAAAAAATAAGCCAAGAGAATTTAAAAATCCTTTCCTGTTTACAAGCACAAACCCATATTGAGACATACATTTTATCATTCAGTCCCTATTAAAAATAATGATGAACATGAACAAAGTTCTGCTATGACATTACTGATGGTAATTCTGGGTAAATATAGGTGCCCCTTAATGTTCTTTATTCTTCACTTACAGTATTAATAGCTTCCATTGTTTTTTCTCTTCAGTAAATATAGTGAGATTCCAGAAGTGACACTGCAAAATAAAACACATTTCCTTTTCTCCACTTCTCCAATAACTGTCTCACTTTCATATTCTGTGAAACTGTTCTTTGCTGTCATTTTCATTTATGCGTGTAGTCCAATTAAACCCGTGTAGACTGAAATATCAGTGAGCTGCCTTAAAATGAAGATTTAAGTAGGAGAGTAGTGAAATGTAGCAGATGGAAAAAATTATATATACCAAAAAAACTGCGTTAATAATGCCTTTACAATGTAAACATGTTACTTTCTGCTACTGTACTATTATTGTTTTTTTATCCAAATACATTTCTTTCTAAACAATACCAGTTATTTTTAGGCTTTAATTTTTATTTTTTGGCCCATAAATTGCATTATTATCATTCAAGATCCCCAGGAAAATAAATGAGGCGTTATTAAAATGTCACAACGGTTTTAATGGCTCAAAACTGTACAGTGCTACAGCAACAAGATAGTTTGCCTAGTCGAGGTTTCTGTAGCAGCTTGGTGTTTGTGCGGTAGGAAAGCCCTGCTTTCTCATCTGGGATTGAAACCTGGATTATCAGGGCTTGATAAATCAGAGTTAGTTAAATCTAGATCAGGTATGTGTAAAAACAAATTGTTTAAGGCAAAGAAAAAGGAAAGAAAATGCAAAAACAAAATCACTGTTAAAATTGAATGTCTAAAGCGTAATGCGCCTTCCAGTCCAGTGTGTGGCAGCACGAGGTTTTGCGAGTATACGATTTGCCAATGAGTTCAAAGAGTAAGTGTAAGATTTAGTTCTTTTCTTTTCTTCTTTTTTTTTTACTCTAAATTGAGACCAATGTATTGTTATACGTAGTATTAATTGAGAGTTGTCTCAAAGGGTGTCTTCTGGGGTAGTTGACCTGGTTATTAACTTCTGTCCGACAGAGATAAAGAGTATTGTAAGGAAAAAATGAAGAAAAGATGGCAAAAACAGTGGCAAGAGGAAAGAGGGCGGGGAGGGGGAATGAGAAGCACAGGACAGGAAGGAGTAGGAGAGAGGAGGTGGTCATATCCAGAATAAGATTTGAACATATTGGTTTAAACACTACACTATTCATAATGGGGAAACGTAATACAGGGAAATGTGACTACTGTGGAGAAGAGGAAACTATAGAAGTATCAGGTGGAGAGAAGTCAGCTGACCCCAAACCTCAGTAATATGAAAATGAAACTAGATCTTATTGATTTACTTGAAAAGGTCTCGTGAAAGTTATCAGGCCTTATTCCGGTTTTTAAAAGAGGGTTTGGGAGGATTTGAGGGGGGCGGTGTGAGTGACGTTCCGTCCACACTCCATACCAGTTGGTGGTGGTAATGCACAATTCAGCTGTTTGCCAACCGCCCATAAAATTTAGAACTAAAAGAAGAAAAGAAGAAGTCTTCCGTTGGATGTGAACGTTTTGTCTGTTTTTGTATGTGGTGTGTGTTTTGTTTTGTCTTTTTTTACGCTTTTGCTGAATTCTGCCTCTAAAGAATTGGAATGAAGCGCCACCTGACAAGCTAAACCCGGAGATTAATAACCCATCACTCCCTATGAATATGGCGGCAAAAGAAAACGTAAACAGTCGCCAATTTGATACTGAATCCGTGGTGAACCGCTGGGTAGTGGATTATTATTTGTTTTTGGCGCTAGAGTTGTTTAAAAAGGAACAATATGAGGATTTCTGTGCCATCACAGATGTACTCGACAGTAAGTAACAATCAGTTTAGCGTGTTTTGACTAGTCTACGTATCTCTGGGATTACCAGAACTATGTTTTGCAAGCTTGTTATCCTTGAAAAGTGAAGAAGTGCTCTATATATGTCAAAGTGTCACGGTTCGTGTGCTGGACTAATTGTGATGTAGGTTCGTGGTTGCATGTCCCACTGGTTTATGTCATTTATGTGACATTTTTATCAATCTTGTTTTTATTGTAGCTACTTATATTATTTTGCTACTGCCTACTACTTGTTTCATCAAAAAAAATAAATATGCATTTTTTTAGCCTTTTGATTGTTTTCTTACAGGTGTCTTGGTTCGTCCTTATGGGCCCATTGATTTTATGCCACAAAAGATTCAAGTGTGGCGGTTTCTTTGCCGGATAAATGAAGGTGACAAACCTGGTGAGATCAACATTGACCATTTATTATCACACATCTGTCAGTCTGATTCATTGTAGTGCTTCATTTGCATTGTGAATAAACACTAAAATGAACCTGGGGTTTTTTTTTGTTTGTTTTTTTTGTCCTCCCAGCTGCAGACACGTCTTCTCAGTCGGTATGTCCTCTGGAGTCAGCCCTAATGTTGCTGGAAAGTATGAGCCAGGAGTTCAGTATCCCACAACAGGATTACAAGAACGTATGCACTTCAATTAAAGAAATGGTAAGCATGTTCCTTATTGTTTTTTTTAAATCACCTATTCAATTTATGCACATGATTCGTTTTTGCATTCCCTTTCACAAAAACATACAGACACACTATTTTGTTTAATCAGAGACTGTAAATGAAATTATTATGCTGCTAACTTGATGGTGTAAATGCATGGGCGAGTGTGTGTACACATCTTTTTTTTTTTTTTTTTTTTTTTGTGCCAAAGGATGAATACATGAACTTACTAAGCCTAAGCTAAATTCATGTTTTTACATTATTAATCAGGTTTCCCAAAATACTGATTCTGTTCATCTGGATGTAGCATTTTCAGTGGGAGAAACATTTCATCACTCATCCAAGTACCTCACAGCCCATTGTTCATTCAGTGGGCTGGTTTCAGTTATTGTGCAAATGTACTGTTTATAAGGTTGGGGAAACCTGCAGTAGCTGAGACTGTCGAAGTCACGTGGATGAGCGACGAAACGTTTCTCCCACTGAAAACACTACGTCCAGGTGAACAGAATCAACCTTTTGGAATTTACTTACCTGGATCATTGAGCATGCATTAAGACATTAATCAGATTTTTTCAACAAGTTATTTGTTTCTGTCTTTAGATTATAATGCTTTCTATTAAGAATGGAAAATTTGAGAAAGCAGGAAAGGTGCTGAACAAGCACTTTACCAAGAAGATGGATGGGAGGGTGAGTTCACTAATTAAAACATATTTTTCCTTAAGCAATATTCTTTGATTGTTTTATCTTGGTAACTCTATTCACATTGATTGCCATTTTGACATTATTTACAGTGTTAAAATTAGTAGTTATAAAAATGCTGTGTAAAAGCAATAAGAGTAGGGGTACTTGGTTAAATCATGCTTGCAGAAGATGGACGGAGGGCTTTTTAGCTTTAATTGTAAACACCAAAATATTATTATACTAAATTATTGATGGTGATTCATGAAGTTTTTTAGGTGTTCATGTAGTGTCTTATATTAATGAAATATTTGTGTTCTGTGTAGAGAATGCTGTTCATGGGTCTCATCAGCAAGAAAAATAAAAAGCATGAAGTAATTGAGCAAATCAACTTTGCACGGTTCAAGATGGAGATGCTGGCTTTTTGTGAAAGGCTCTGCCCATCAAGCGTTCCCTTTCTCCAAAAGGTATGAATGCTATACTTAAGATAAAGGCTTTGTAGTTTGTTTGGGTTTTTTTGGTTTCTTTTTTGGTTGTTTGTTTCTACTTTGTGATCAGTAGGAAATGTTTGCCTGTGACTTCTGTTTATTCTGTTGAAAACCAATTAACAAAACATTGTGGATTTGTCTGTAACATAAAAGTCTTTACACTTACACTATATAAAAGTGTATATTTTTGTGTAATTCTACCAGGCTGCAAATCGGCTTATTCAGGAAAAGAATAAGGAACAAGACAGCAGTGCAGCTAGAGCTGATGAGCAAGTCCAACCGGTCCCCTCTTCAAGTCCACAAGTAAACATGGTCCAGTCTGTACCATGGTAAGATATCTGTCCCTCTCAGGTGATCTGATCAAATCTGATCTAATCTGATCAGATTAGGTTTTATTAGATCCTAATAAGTACAGTTACGCTTATCTGTGCTGAGTATTTGCACATTGTGCTCTCTTATAGTCTTAAGCTGCCCGGAGCCCTCACACAAATGCCCAGAGAAAAATCACTCCCCATCTGGACTGGGAATTGCAAACATCCATCACAGATGACTGTTTTAAATTTATTACAAATGAGAAATGTGGTCGTAGTTTCTTCATTATTCAGTAATAGTGAAAGCTATTTCAATTCTGAAATTGAGTACTACTTCCGTTAATATATTGCACACTCTGTATCTTCCCCTTGTCAATGCTGGGCAGCATAATATCAGTTGA